CCCCCCCGCCCAAGGCGGTCTCTAGGTTTTAGGGGAGAACTTCCACATCCCTGGAGGTGCTGACTGGGGAGCCTGGGTTGGAGGCACAGTCCCAAAATCTTTGAAGGGGCACGCAGTTGGGGAAGGCTGGATTCTGAGCGCTTCCCCATGCCAGGCGAAGATCAGCCGTCTCTCCTTAGCTGAGCGAGTGCAGGGGTCTGCCCAGCACAGATTAGCAGGCGTGTGACTGCTGGCGGGGGGAAAGGGGGCGGCTTATAGCAGTTTACAGTCCTAAAGCTTAGGTAAGAGTTGTGGCCAAGACCTGCTGCCGGGGCAGGCTGCTGGCAATGCAGAGACCAGAGAAGCTTATGCCCAGCTGAATTTATTAATAAGCCGCATGCTATGCTGCCATGCCCCAAGTAGAGGTCTGCAGACTTGTTCCAGCGAGGGCAGCGGCCCTGACAGCTCCTGGAGCTCAGCTTTCCCACCGGAGAGGGGAAAGGGGCTCCCTTTTTGCACACGCCCCTGTACAGGAGGTAGAACAGCATGCAATCACAGCAGGCGACAGGCAGGATGCAGGAAGATGGAGCCCTGGACCGGCCAGTCTCTGTCCACCCCCAACCTGGGCGATGTCAACCCACCCCAAACAGCGAGGCTACTTACGAAGGCACTGAAGGCGCCTTCCCTTCCTGATGTGCCAGCCAGCCGAAATATGTACCACAGAATGCCAACGCTCACCACAGTCATTCCCAAGGTGTAGAGGGCACTGCCAAGACAGGAGCACACGAGGGTCAGGCCTTAGCAGCTAGAGACAGGTCTGCATTTGGGGAGCCAGAAGTATAGTAATTTGGAACAGCTTAAAGAAACTGGCTTTCTTAAAAAATAAAACAAACAGAGTATGCTTTTTTGGTGACTGTAAATGCTTAGGGTGCATGTTCACTTTAGACCGCCAAGAGAGGAAAGACAGGTCCCATACAACTTTGGTTTGGTGGGCAAGACTTAAAGGAGAACCTAAGCCAGCGCGCTGCAACAGAGTGATGCTGCACGTCTGTGTTGTTCCACAGGAGCCTCTGGCGACCTGGCCAAGAGGCAGAGTTTGCTGCCAGAACTGGACCACCAGGCCACTCCCAGGTAGCAGGCCTTACAGCTAGCAAGGGAGGTGCCATCTGATGGAGACCGCTCACTGGTCAGAGGAGAACATGGAGAAAGGATGTTGGAGGGGCAAGAGATTGCCAAAAACTCCTCCAGAGCCTCCTCCTTCAGACCCAGCCTAAACCATGCCACTACAGCCCACTTCTGCCTCACAAAAGCTTTCACTGCTTCCTCTGAAAGCAACACAGAGCCTTGGAATGTCCTTTTACTGTTAGCATTAGAGAACCCAGTCAGCCTTGAAGGACAAAATTCTTCCCTTCAAACTCCAAAAGTCCCTTTTGGCCAGCTTTAACACGTGCAGAAGCATGCAGCAGCAGCAGCAGCCTAGGGCTTTTCGAAGAGGTTACCTGCTCTATGGAAGACTCTTAGATTGACCATTCTCCCACAGTAGAAACTTTTAACCTCTGCAGAACTGGGCTTCTGCAGGACAAAATCTGTACACTTGATGCGATGACCTGCCTTATGCTGACATGTGGGCCTTTCCTAAATCAAAGCAAATACCGCCAGAGAGGCTCGTTCATGCCTCAATGCACTGTCTCTGCTGAGCTCACCACTCTGTGATCATTAAGTCCATTAAGCCACCGGTGCACTGGGAAATTTGGCTGTTGGTCGTTTCCCCAAGAAACTCCTTTGCTCAGAGGCCTTAGGCTGGGCTCTGGCTGCCCACATCTGCAGCCTCCTATGGAAATTAGGCTCTCTGTTATGCAGCTGTGCGATTAAGCTGTGAGCCAGACATTCCAGGCCAGAACTTGTCCTAGACCCCCATCTTCAGGACAGGCCATTTGTGCTGGCTGCCCAGTTCAGCACGCCCACTCAACCCCTCCGGGCTACTGTGCACCTCATGATCAAAATGCAGACATGGTGGACCCCAGAGGTTGCCACAGTGGTGGCAGTTCAAGTCCTCCTTCCTAAACTCTTCGTACTTTCCAAAGAAGCTGCTGCGCCGGTAAGAGACGGGGATTCGGTCATTCAAGTCGATGTTCAGCTCCTCCTCAGCTGCTCGCAGTTTCTCCTCGAACTTGTCAATGTTAGCCACCTTCATTATGTAGGTCAAGCTTAGTTTCTGTAAGACACAAAGAGGAGCAATGTTCCTGTGGGAAAGAACAGCCTTCAGCAGGGAAAGGGAGGGGTGGGCTATGCACGCAGAGCTGCCATCTGCCAGGAACTGGTGGGAGGGGCAATTCTGTGGAGGAAGAAAGCAGCCAGACAAGGCAGGAAGGGCTCCTCGAGTTGCACGACCTCCCAACCTGCCAACTTCCTGGCCTACTTGAAACCTGGGCCAAAATGTGCTTCCCTGAGATTCAGAAGAACAAGCCGAAACCCTCAATCGGCAGGACTCTTTTTTAGGGAGGGGGTCCCTTCCAAACTATAATCAGATGTATTCAAGATCCCAGGAGGCAAAACTAATCAGCTGAAATATAACACCACGGATTATTTCAGTATTGCATGGTTTCCACACGCAGCCCCAATTTTGGGGCTACTGACTTCAGTGGACTAAAAGCTATGGAGGGAAATTACACCGAGGTCGGGTACAGTGTGAAGCAAGTGGTATGTATGGCAGCGGTGGTGGTGGGGGAATAATACTTAACTGCACATTTTGCCTCCAAACCTCTCAGAATCTGAAATCCACTCCTATCAAGACTAATGGTTTTTCCCAATGGCCCAGAACATTCAAGGGGGAAACTGCCCAGTTGATGGCATGCCACGGTTGAAGGTTAGGTTACAGGGGAATCCTCCTATACCACCTTGCCTGTGCCCGCAGACGGGATGGGAAGGCCCTTCTCCTCTCCACGAGATGGGTGAGAAAGCAGAAGAGCCTCTTTTTTTGCAGTTACAGCTAAACATCCCTTGAGGAATTCTCACGCAAGAGGCTGTTCGCTCCCTCCCTTTGTAAGCAGCTAGCCGCAGGTGAAAACTATTTCACTAAGTCAACGGATGATCTGCCATCTACTTAAATTTCAATGAATTATACTATTTTTATTGCATTATTTGCTAATAGTTACTATGGAGGGGAGGTGGAAGCTATAACTCAGTTTTTTTTCAGACTAAATTCCCAGAGCCCTTGATGGAGAGGCGAAGTTCTAATGATAAAAAATTGGCTGCATTTGAGTGAACTCTTTTTTTCTTGTCCTTAGTCTCTCATGGACCCCCATCAGGTTTGAAAACATCTGCTATAAGTGAACAGGAAAATGGAAAAGTGGGATATAAATGATTCCTTAAAAAAACCCAGGGGCTAAAGCGATCCAGAACAACTACAAGCAATCTTTTGCTTATCCAAATATTAATATACTATATTCTTGGTATCTGGAGTTTTCCCACTGGTTAACTCCTGAACTCAAAATTATCTAGATCAGTTCATATTTAAGCTCAAATATTCTATTGTAAGAGTTTGACCAAATGGCATCAGCTGCGTTCCATCTAGGAGGGCCTTGCAAGTGATCAAGTAACAGACATTCATCTGCTGACTTCTTTCATTCTTCACATCACCTAATGAAATTATTCAGAAAAATAGGAACAATTCATAAAATGGGGTGGGGGAGAGGAGGACTTAGCTATGACTGAAAAATTTTTGCTCCTGATTTAAAAGCTCAGGGGTCACAGTGGAAGTTTCCAACGTCCTGAGGACTGGCCTTGCTGAAATGGACACTCACAGGCCATCCAAAGACGATCGCTCCTGGATGCAAGTAGATTTCCACGATTTCGCTCTCTGGCACCACCTGCACGCTCTGGACTTCCCCCTTTGCCAGCAGCTCATTCACAAAGTCATTCCAGGAGATGTTGCCCGCACTGGTGGTCAGTGAGTTCAGCAGGCTCATGATGACAGCAATGAGGAAGAGAATCCTCAGGCGCTCACGATACATCTGGTCTTCCCTCTCCCGGCGTCTCTTTTCCTCTGGAGAGAGGAAACGTAAGAGCACATCAAGATGAACATTACAACAAGCTGATTATGCCTCAGGCCACAGTCTGCCTCCCTGGTCTGTTTTTTGTTCCACATTTCAGCCTTCCTCGGAAAACAAAGCCAGGCTAGAAAACTAGCATCTGGTTTGCAGAACAGGGTTGTGTTTCAGCCCTTGTTGCAGGGGCTGAATGAAGAGAGGCCAGCAGCGGGGCTGGCCAGCTGGGTGGCAGGCCAGGCCTGCTTAGGCCAGGCCAATGGCTTGGGAGCAAAAGATGTTATGGAGCTACCTAGCTGGGATTTCAAGCCGAGTCCTCAGCAGGCAAGGGAGCCTCGTGTTAGCCAGCAAATATTTAGTCAGGCAAAAGTAGACAGAAGGAAAAGATGACGAGGCAGTGTATTTATCTTAGAAACCGCTCAGGCTAGAAGAGCACGGCTGCCTTCTGCAACACACGTGAACCAGTGGACAAGCTGCCCTCTCCAAGGCGAAGGCTGCAGACAGTCCAGCTTTGCACCAACTCCTGCACCTTCCATAACCTTCCCTGGCATTACAGGGAAGGAACTTCTCTGTCCTGTGAACCTAGCTCCTACAGCTTCCAAACCATGGCTTAGCACTACCGGTGAAGCTGCTGAACGTGGCATGATTTTGGCAGTCTAAAAACCTAATAAATGCATACATAAACAAACAGGCCACACTGGCTTCTAACCACCTATGCTGAAAACTGGGCTTAGCATTACCATGACCTCAGCCCATCCACACGTGTGCTATGCTTGGAAGTGGACTGGAACCCCATGAATTATGGAAGGAAACAGGCTTCACAGGAATGGCATCAGACAGCTTGCAGTCTCAGCCTCCTTCCACACTGTAGACAGCAGGGTCCTTCTCTTCAGCACGTCAAGCCTTTTTTCCGAGTCACACTTGAGAACCGTCTGCCACTTTGGGGCCCACGTCTGCTCATTTTCAGGACCGTTTAGCAAGCCCCAGAAGTCTCTCTTTGTCAAACACCTCAGAATTAAAAGGTGAGATAGCTCTCCTTCCAGAAAAAAAGCCCACGGTGCTTTTCAAGCACTCTCCACAGTTCAGACTCCCCAGTACATGGCTGCATTCTGGTCAGGAGATCTATCTGCGGTGCTTCAGATTTACAAACGAATCTGTTAACAGAGGCACCTGTCAGCAAGCTTAACCTGTTAAACTGAGCACCCCACAAGAGCGACGGGGCAGAGGTGCAGCCTGATCCCGTCCTGACGACATGCAGAGGCTGGCGCTGCATTTTGCAACTAGTTCTGTCCCCAGTTTCTGCAGGAAAAGGAGCACGGGAACGAAGGGCAGCTGCAGCAGTGGTTCTCAAGCGAGCCCCACTACGCCTGCCTTTCGCCTGCAACGCAACTGGCCGGTCTTCCGTTCCCAGCTGCCTGAGCCAATTCACCCCCCCAGCTCCCCCCAAGATGGCCCAGGGATGGAAAGCAGAGCTGGCAAAGACACACGCAGACGATCCAGAAGCTTCATGAGGGAGAAAGCGACATGGCCCAGCAGGAATCTCTTATGAAGGCGGTCCCTGACGCCAGAAGTAGGTCTCCTCTAGAGGCAGGAAGGTGACAGCCCCTCCCTTGAAAAGTCTGTTGTCCGAGGCCCAGTTTCTGGCTAAAAAGGAGGCTGGAGCAGCAGCCAAACTCCCTAGTTGTTTTCAGGAACTCCCAAGACAAAACGCTCCCAATGCCGCCTGACCAGAGATTCCAGGGGACTTAATAGCTTGCACCGTTTTAAACCACAAGCAGACTTGCAAAGCCCTTTCATCCTGCGCTCTGTCTCAGACGGCTGGCACCTCCTCTAAAGAGGCCACAGGAGGCTCAGGGAACAAGGCAGTCCGCTGCTGACGGCCTCTTTGGACAGCTGCCCTTGCAGCCTGGCGGGGGCTCAGGGCTCACACTCTCCGCCCGGTAAAACTGTCTGGCCCGATCAGAGGAATCTCCCCCCAGCAGTCAAGGCAGATGTTGCCCCTATGTTCTTTGCTCAGAGTAAGCCCCCTCCCCATTACTGGGGGTCTCCCTCAAAAGCAAGCCAGAACCCGGGGGTTGCTGTGGGAAAGTTCAGAGAAGCCGACTGGCCAGCTGGGTTCGCACGCAATGCTGGTCTCTAATACAGTGCTTTGGTTTGCACGGGGACCAGTCACTGGGGTTTCTAAAGCCCAGCTTATTATTTAGCCTGCGGTATATTACTCAGTGAGCCGGTGTGGTGTTGCGGTTAAGGCTGGAGCCTGGGAGGCTCTGAATTCTAGTCCCGTCTTAGGCGCGAAGCCAGCTGGGAGACCCTGGGCCTGTCCCTCGCTCTCAGCCCCAGGAAGCAGGCAAGGGCAAACCGCTTCTGAAAATCTTGCCAAGAAAACTGCAGGGGCTCGTCCAGGCAGTCACCAGGAGCCAACAGTGACTTGAAGGCGCCCTTCACCAAAAGTTTACTCAACACAAACCAGGCTCACGTAGCTTGACTCTATCAGTAAAACTGCAGGAGAGTGAGAGAAACCGCCTTTCTCTGCTCTGCTTTTGGTCTTGTGCTACCTCTGTTGCCACTGGTTACGCAGAGCCTCTGGCACCAAGTTTTATCAGCCGGAAACGGCCATCACGCCTCTCCAACGCCCTAGATAGTCCGTAACTACGTCGGCTTCTGGCTGGAAGACCCCCTTGCAGGCAGCCTCGGCAGGGAAGTGATCTGCCATTAACTCCCTCCCTCCCCCCCCGCCTAAAAGCTTGCAAGAGTTGCAGTGACCAGGCTCCAGAATGCCTTTTAAGTAATTCCTGCTCAGGTGATCTTTCTCCCCAAGACACAGAGGAGGATTCCACCTCCCCTCGCAAGGAGGCAGAACAGTCGACATAAGCCAGTGAGACTCGAGGCTTGTTCTCTGAAGATATTCCCTGGGGCCCTTCAGACACCCTGAAGCCCCAGGTCCCGCAAGGAGCGCTTACAAAAGCCACTGTCCTTGCCAAAGAGGCTCAGTTGAGAGAGAGGTCCCAGCTGCCAGACCCTCCACTCTTTCTTTGAATCAGCCACGTACCATTTTAAACTGGGACCGCATGGGAAGAGAGCTGCCTCTCCCACTACGGGCAAATACACAGAAGTTACAGCAAGAACGTTTCCAACTAACCACCAGTTGCTGATTTCATTTGAATCCTTCTGTTTTTCCCAGGGGACGTATAAGCTGACTTAATGGATCGGAGAGACCCAGAGTCACCTTCTGTTCTTGAGTGGCGCTTCTGGCCCACCCTCTTTCAGGCACGCTCTTTCCAGTCTGTAAAACCCAAATAGCAGTAACTGCCTCCTGGGGATTACGTCAGAGCAATGTTTCTCAGCCTTGGCAACTTTAAGATGTGTGGGCTTCAACTCCCAGAATTTCCCAGCCCGCCCACACATCTTTCAGTTGCCCAGGCTGAGGAAA